TTTTTTTGTTGTTGTTGTTGTTTTGTTATTGTTGTTGTTTTCAAAAGTGGTGACCCATGCATGAGTTTTTGGTGCGAAATCGACAGGTTAGTAGTTACCTAAAGAAAGATAGTACTATACTATACTATGCTATGCTATACTATACCATACTATAAATACCAAAGTACTCACCTACCCACCTAGCTAGCTAACTAAAGAACCAAGACAAAAAAAAAAAAAAAAAAAAAAAAAAAAATAAAAAAATTCAACCTCACCTACCTACCTATCTACACACACATAGCAAACATCGTACATACATACACAACTCACAACTCACAACTCACAAACCCACAAAGCTAGCTCGCTGACAGAGATTCCCAGACATTCAGTACATCAGTACAATACTTAATGGGAAAAGAAACAAAAGAAACAAAAAAAATACAAAAAAAAAAACCAGAGAGAGCCGTGGATCATGCATGTCCCAACCCAAGCTACTACAAGATCAAGATCGAGAGATCATGGCGTAGGTACCGGTACCGGTATACCATTTCTTACTACCTTATATTTCCTCATGCTGAAAGGAATAAATTCCCCGCCGCGCCACGCCACGCCACGCCACGCCCACGCCACACCCACGCCACACCCACGCCACATCACGCCACGCCACGCCCGCTTGCTGGTTGCAGGATCCCTTCCTTGTTGGTTATCCTTCTCTCTGATATATAGCATAGCATATAGGTACCGGTAGTATAGCTATGAAAAAATAGCTTTTCCTCTAGATCCCCCCCCTTCCCCTCCCCACATTGGATATTTACCAATGAGGATTGTTCTTTCGGTCTGTCTACCTACGTATCATCTAACTTCCCCCCCCCCCACCCGTGCCGAGTTTTTCCATCATTTCCACCAGCTTCTCAGCTTCTCATCCCCGAACCCTAACCCTCATCCTCAAGAACTCGACCACAGCCGACCCTGCGCAACGCAGCCCCTCGCTCTAACCCCGTAGGTCTCCTCAAACGTCTCATCCTCCCCAACGAGAACCCGGTAACTCACCACCGCCATCTCCCGCGCCATCTCCGCCCTCCTCACATCCCGGAGGACCGCGTACGCCGTCCAGAGCAGGACCCAGCACTCCACCAGGTGATCAACCACCAGCCCCCACTTCACCACCGCAATCACCGAGTCCGCTCGAGCTGGAGGGAAGCTCGCCCCTTCGATGGCGAAGCCGAGATTCTCGAGGACCTTGAGCACGCTCCAGATGACGTTCTGCGGACGGCCGAGGATGGCGTACATGCGCGTCAGGGCGAGGTACGGGTCCCAGATGCCGGTCCTCGGGACCTCGATAGCAGAGCTGGAGTAGGTCTTCTCCAGCAGGCCCAGTGTCTTTTCGAGCCTCCCCATGTCGACCTTCCCGCAATCGAAGCCTCCCCTCACACTTCCCGCTCCGAAAGCAGCCGAGAGCTCGGCCCTCAGTGCCTCCCTCTTCTTCAGCATCTTCTTCCCCGTCGCCTTGGCATCTGTGCAAAGCTCACAGGCACAGATGAACTCATACTCGGAGAGGGATTTCTGGGTGGCGTCGTATTCGTGGTCTTTGGCTGCGGGGTTGCGGTAAGCCCATAGGAGCTCGGTGTCAGCGGGCAGGTCTTGGGAGGCGCGAATGATTAGCATGTCGCCGATGAAGCTGCGGCGGCAGTTGCTAAAGCAGGAGTGATTAATTGTTGCAGCCAGGATCCAGAGACCGCTGGAGTGGCCGGAGGAGGCGGTGGGAGTGAGAGTGGATGCGGCGAGGTGAGAGGAAAGGCTTGTGAGGGAGCCGCCGAGGGAATTTGTGGTCAAGATCTTGTCTACCAATTGTCTAGATGTGGTGTAAGTAAATAGGCGATCGAGTAAGCTGGGACTAGATTCGACTTACGGGTCAACAAATGGCTGGCCATCGACTTCGAGTTTCGGGACATAAGACCCATGGTAGACAGAACTGAATGCGGATAGGGAGCCCGGATTCTCGCCGAGCTTCCGGAGAGTTGCCTCCCGAAGAGCTGCTTCCGTTCCCGCTAAGCTGTCGATGTAGCAATACGAGAACGCCTTCTCGCATACGAGCAAGTCTCCCGCTTTCACAGCCGACTTGGTAAAAAGTCCTCTGCCCGTAAGCTGCGAGTTCCGTACTTCCACGGGTTCAAAGTACGTCGCACGATCAAGTCGAGGGGGACGAAGCTTTTCCACTTCGGCGTATAATGACTTGAAGTTGTAACCGCCTCTTTGTTGCTCCAAGAGCCGGAAGATGGTCTTGGTCAGATCTTTCTTGGCCTGGCTGTTTTCGGGATACTCTTTGCACAGAGTCTTCAGAATTTCCGAGGCATCACGATATTCACCCTGTGAATACAGAATCTCAGCTTGCCTTAAGGGTTCCCGTTGAGAGTCCAAGCCTGAAGCATCCGGGATACATGTCCCCAGGCCTGAGTTTTCGGAGTCGAGCCGTCTCGGGTCGTTAGGGGCACGTTGTAGGTTACCTGTTTCCATTATTATCATTGGCGGTTTTGAAGACGCTGAGTGTTACCGTAGTCGTAGGACTATTTATATACGTACTTCTGGATATACGGATAGCAGTAGGTAGGCACCTAGGTAGTTGTATCGAGTCCTCCGTACATACTTTGGCATGGGTCCAGGGCTTACTCCGGATGATGCGGGTTGCAGGTGGCAAATTGCAACTCGCTACCCAACCAGCAGCTTGGGAGCTCGTATTCTGCGCCTTGGGAAGGAGCCGGCTATGGGTAACACGCGTCAGCCATTCTGTGATGTCAAACCTCACATTCATCTGGATCCAACAATCTGGATCTGAGATCTAATTAACGGGGCCTAAACCGAGGTGGTTTTTTCTGGCGGTGTGGCCTGACAGCCTTACTAGAGATCCTCGACTAGGTAGAGTACCGGTAGATTGTAGGAAGAATCGGTGAAGATAAGGTACAGATTCCATAGCCGTTGGTAAGGATGTTGATAAGTATAGTAGCTGGGCCCTGCATGATCTCGGCGTGGCTTCGGTAATTGCGAACTGAACTGTTTGAATGCAAATGTGCGAAGTAAATAAACAGAAATATCAAGGCAGTTCGAGTCGACATCCTTATTCGGTATAACGAACGCAGTTGCATAGCCGACCACGATTTCAAGAAGAAGAGATTGCAAAACGAACGAGGAGGCAAACGGCAAAAGACGATGGGAAAGCAGAAGATGACTAACCAGGCCATACTACAGATAATACTACAGATAATAGACAGAAATCCTCCATTGGGAGAGACATGGCTCGCATTAACGAAACGGGCATGCCATACTTTCGGAGTGAACTCCACAGACAAGAATCTTTGAAAGCTCAAGGTTGTCTAAGCTAAGACAAGATCGTCGCCAATGATATACCGGTACTGTAGTGGCCGAAGTATACGTACTGTGCCATATCTCCTTGAGAGGTGGTCCATTTGAATTCCGTCGTGCTGACATTGTGGGATAGAGAGAGTTATGAACTCCTCAGAGTGCCAAGAAGTAATACGGAATGTTGATCGATGCTGTGGTTGCAATGAGGTGTTCTCCCATCAGTGCATCATTGAGAGCCTTCAAAGTTCCTAGCAAGTGACTGGACTCGCGAAATTGTTGAAGAAAGGAGAAGGGAGTCCAGTCCAGCTATCCAAACGACGGAGCTCGGTCCAGACTCCTGAACGACCCCTCGCGGCACGTGATCAGATGGGGGGGTCAAGTCTCAGAGATGCCCCACAGCCTTCACATCTCTCCAGCTTGTTTCCTTCACCGTCTATACAAGATCCGGCCTCCTCCTCTGTCATCTCTGATAAATCCAATCCCAAGTCTAAACCAACAACCGCAATCATGGCCGCAGCAGTAACCGCATACCCCCCAGGAGGAACCTTCCTCGACACCCTCGAGGTATCCTTCACCAACGTGCCCGTCGACAAGGAGAAGGACAACGCCGTGGCCACGACCGAGTTCCTCAAGGCTGCCGAGTCGCTGACGACTCTATTCGGTATTTTCCCTTTCCTTCCGTCCCCATCTCTCAAACATCTACTGCAAACATGCAAGTCCAAGCAGATCCTGACAAGAAGATTTGGCAGACGTTCTCGGCTCGATGGCATTCAAGCCCGTCAAGAGCGACATGGCCGGCAACGTTGCTGTATGTCCAGACCTTCCAAGGGGGTAGTGGGGGTGCAATGGGGAGCTATACAGCCTAACGGGCCCCGCAGAAGATCAGAGAACGCCAGCTCGCCGCCCCGGCCGAATCGGCAACCCTCCAAGAGCTCGTCGTCAACGAGCTCAAGACCAAGAAGCACGTCGCCACAGAGGGCCTCGTCTGGCTCGTCCGGTAGGTACCTCATCCGCGCCCCCCTTTACTGTCCCCCCCCTCCCTCTCTCTCTCTCTCCCTCTTCACCTCCCCCTCACCCCTCCCCTCCTTCACCCCAATCAACAACTAACATCTGCCCCTCCCTCCCTCCCTCCAGCGGCCTCGACTTCACCTGCATAGCGCTCTCGCAGAACCTCGCCCAGCCCAGCGAGGAGCTCGCCGCCTCCTTCCGCAACGCCTACGGCTCGACCCTCAAGCCGCACCACTCCTTCGTCGTGAAGCCCATCTTCAGCGCCGCCATGTCCGCCTGCCCCTACCGCAAGGACTTCTACGCCAAGCTGGGCGAGGACCCCGACAAGGTCGCCGAGGAGCTGCGCGTCTGGCTCGCGAGCCTGGAGCAGATCCTCGCCATCCTGAAGGGCTTCCTGGACAGAAAGGAGGCGAAGTGGTAGATGATTGGGATGGGGTCCAGACCAGAGAGGTGGCGCCTGATGGCTGGCTATATGGCGAACGCGGGTGGTGGTGGTGGTGGTGGTGGTGGTGGGAAGGCGTATTTATCGGTGGGAGTCTGGGTTGACATTGGCATAAGCACGCATAGCACTCGGGGCTAAAACTGTCCATTGGAGGCTGTCGGGAGGTCATGATGAATGCACTTGATACGTTGGTTGATGCCACTTCCCCCACGACTCAATAGGGGAGGACGATGGTGATGTGGTTAGCTCGTTCCCCAGGTGCCAACTAAAATGATGTGGATGCAGAAGATGAAATTCGCTCTCTTGGTTCCCGTTTGATTTCTCTTTTTGCTCGTGGTCATAGAAGTCGTTGTATCGTTACAAAAAGCTCATCCGTAGCCCTCCAGTGCCAGAAGCTCCCCAACTCCAACCTCCTAGACAGTAGAGCGCCCCGCGCGTCGCCTTTCGCGCAACCATCAAAAGCCGATCCTCAAGCCAACATTTTAACGCCCAGGCAAAAAAAGCACCAGCCCCCCTCGCCATATAAGCCCATCCGCATCAGCCACGAAAATCATCCCGCCGTTTGGTCGCCATTGAGTATTACCCATCCGTACATATACATGATCCGCATAACCCATACGCCTAAAAATAGAAAATTAAAGCTCGTCTTTTTTTGTCGTCCTATCGAGTCCGTCCGTCCATCGGTTGGGTTCAGTGGCAATCTCAAGCCCCCACAAACCAAGCAAGCTTAGCCCCACCCGTGTTTCGGATCGAACCACGATCAGAGTCTCCTGAAAACCCACCTTGGCTTGAGCCCCACTACTGCACAGCTCTTCCTGAATGCATAGCGGAGATCCCCACGGAGGAATGGCTTTCTCTTGACCTTTGCAATGACCATGCTCGGGACACCCGTCTTGTCGGCCTTGAACTCATTCTCCAGGTATCTCTGCATAGGATCAATCATGACATCCATTATGGTTTGGCGCGCATGACTGAGTGCAGGCTGCTCGTTGCCCGACGGATCGGTTGGGAAGGGGATCGTATGCAGGCTGGTGCCGTTCTCCCCCGGCCAGACAGAGGTGCGGAAGCGGGTCTTTCCCTTGGAGTTGCAGTCGAATGCAATGATGAGTTCCTTGAGAGCCGGGAACACAGCTTTGAAGCGGGGTTGGGGAGCGTGCCCTGCATAGCCAGAGAGAAGCGTAATGAGCTGTGCTCGCTCGGCGTCGAATGCGACCCTTTGCCAGCCTTTCATAACGCCGAGGCCTGTCAAGCCTAGAAACTCCTCCTCGTCCTCGAGCAGCATGAACATGACAAAGAGGCCCATGAGGCTGTTCAGTAGCAGGGTGTCCAGCTGGGGGTTGAAGTAGAACCTCAGTATGCCCTTGCCAGTCCTTCCGCGATCAGGAGGTGCGTAATCCATCAGCTCGTGATGTTGTAATGCTATGTTGCGAGATTCGGAGCAGACATGGAAGATCGAGGGGGTGAGGCTGCTGTTGGATCGGAAGGTCATACGTTCGTTGTAGAGCTTGGAGCAAGGATGCAATTCGTGGACGCGAGGTTTCATGGCCGCCTCCCATATTTGAAAACGGAGCTCCATAGGCAGACGATTGAACTGTGGAAAGGAGGCTGGTTTGCGGAAGGGTCGCGTAATGGACTCGGATGCTTTGAGGAGATTGGATGGTTTGAAGAAGATAGAAGGCGGAATCGAGGAGCTTTGGGAGTCGACAGGAACGGTCCCAGCTTCCTGCTGGATAGGGATCAACGCTTTATTCTTCACCATCTTGTTGATGTCGATGTCGATGTCGATGTCGATGTCGATGTCGAGGGATTAGTTTTCGAAGGATAGGTGTCGATGGGGGGGGATGTTGGTCTGCGGTGAGGAGGTTGTGCAGGGCGAGAGCGAGAGCGAGAGACGTCGACGAGAATATTGACTTGGGGTAGTAACAGCTTGCGATTGGCGCTTTCTTCGATCGATGATTATCGATTGGCAAGAGGCCAAACCTTGTTCGCAGAGATCTTCACGTCTTGGGTCTTGGTCGACTTGAGGAGATCTTTTGGTTCGGGAAGGTTGTCGATACTTATTGCCGCGGCTATCCTGCGGCGTGGTGGAGTTGCAGCACAGTAGTCCAGTTTCGGGAGGGAGGGCGGTCGGACAGCAGTGTCGACTGAAGCCCCGTGACAAACGCTTGGGTTCCAGTCAGACGTCGTCGTCAGTGTCAGTGTCGGTGTCAGTGTCGGTGTCGGTGTTTCACGTCGAGAATTGGATTTGAAACTGAAGTGAACGGATGGGAAAGAAACCAATATACGAAGTAGGTGGTTGGGGATTGTAAGGGTACATCTTCTACTCTGTAGGTACTCTGTATCTGTAGGTACTCTGTATACTGTATATGTAGGTACCGGTGCTGTACGTACCGAGGACTCGTAAAGTGACCTTGACCGTGGCTGATGGACTGACTAATCGGTTAGAGCTAGCGCAGTTGCTGGCTACCGATACGAAGATTAAGTTCAAGATGGAGATGGTGCATTTCGACTTTCCAAAAATCACTAATCTCAACAATGTGACATGTCTGGTTGCACTCATACTGGACAAGTAATGCCCAAAATCAAAAACCCCATCCTCTTTGCTCACAAATGACTGCTCGGATCTAGTCAGTGGATTAGTAACAGCACCTATTTATCCGAAGTATGGTTCAGTGCTGCGCTCCGCCGGCATCTACCTTGTACCTTTCTTTACTGTACCTGGTGGTTGTACTTTGGGGGTCCATTAGATCAGACAAGGGCCGGGATAGAGTGGCATGGAAGATATAGTAGTACTAGTACGACTACTCCTCTACTCCGTACGGAGTACCTATACATGCAAGTCAACAGTTTGCGCATGCCCCAAGGCTCGCTCATTCATAATGCTGTTTCCCCTTTTTCAATTTCATTCCATGACTACCGGACCGTATTTCCTCTCCTTTTCAGACACGGCGACGCCCCCCCACCTAACCCACCTACCGTATGTTCTGGCCCGGCGGCCAGCTATCATACAGTAGCTAAAACACGCGTCCGGCATGGTTGGTGCAGTTGCTGAGTGTCCCCGCACGGGCTGGTGCTTGTGCGGAGGGAACATTCATGTCGTCTGAACAAAGTGACTTGGTGCCTTTTCGTTCTAGCCCTTGGTTTCGTAGGTCGTGCTCGTGGTGTTTGTTGGGGGTGCTAGGAGGTAGATATGGATGTGGATGCACTTGTGGAGTTTGAGGAGGAGAGCTGATCTGGGCTGGCCTGGGCTGGGCTTGGCTGGGCCCGAGAACATGATGAGGATGGCGGTTGAGTAAGCCACACTTGAGATCACTTGAGACCCTGGCCTCTCTATACATCCATAGTCTATCGTATCACACAACAAGCCGTTCCGCACCTTTCTAGCTATCATACAACAGAGTAAAGGTGTGCTGCCAACCCCGGCAATCAAACAGATCATGTCGCCTGCCTATAACAAAAAAAAAACGCTTGATATGGTGATATCGACGTTGGATCAAGGTTGTTGCAAAAGGAATTGAAAGCACACTTGGTTGATCACTCAGAGCTTGAGAGAGAGTTGCAACTATGCTACCAATCATGACAAGCTCGTATCACTTCACCTCTTCCTCGATCTTCCTCTTCAGCATGCCGCAGAAGCTTTCGAAGAGGACACTATCGTGTCCCTTGAGCCACCTGATCGTGATTTTCGATCCACCCACGCCTCCTGCATTGGCTTCGACCTGGACTTTGCACCCAAATGCCATTTCCTCTTCATCGCTGTCGTCCTCCATCGCTGCGTCTTGACTCTTCGTAACATGTCGACGGGCAGCACGAGACCAGACAGCCTTTCCGCTGAACCCAATGCCAGTGTAGATTGTAGATTTCCACCTCCACTTCATAGGCAGCTGGCCCAGGATAGTGTTGATTTTCTGCCCAACATCTGCCTGATTGCTCCTTGACTGACTCTCGTCAGCTTATCCGACATGAGAGCATAAACACGGGTAGATACGACTCACCGTAATCACATAATCCCCCGGAAAAGGCAACAAGCCCTTCTGCAAAGTCCCTACCCCCCTCGCGATACCCATACCTGGCCTAAGATCCTCAAAACTCCATCCAATAGCCCACCTCCTCGTCTTACTCCCCTGTACAAACTCCGTCACGGCATAATTATCAACTCCACTGCCTTGCAGCTTCTTCACTAGCACCTCAATACTTGAGAACTTCCCAAGCATAGACGTATACCACTGCACGCGGTCCTTGAGCACGAGACTTTCGTCTATCATGCGGGACGCAAAGGTGACTTCGCCGCCGGGAGTGACCATCTCGGATTCGGAGCCCGTGCAGGCTGTAAAGGGGGGCCGTTGCTTTGAGGCGGCCGAGGCGAGGAGTTCGGTGGTGGATGTATAGAAGGGGGGGTTGCACATGGTGAAGTCGATACTATGGATCCATCAGCAATGATGTATGGCATGCCAATCTAGAGAGGGTTGTACACACGAATCGAAACCCATCTGGTCTAGAGGGAGAAGTAGGCCATCGGGCTGGGTCTGGAGGAGCTTGATTCGGGTCTGGAGGCCGTTGTCCTGGACATTTTTCTTGGCGAATTGGAAACTCCTGTCATCGGTATCTATAGTGACATTAGTATGGCTCTTAAAAAAATTTTAAATATATATATATGTATATATATATATATTGTTTTTTTTTTTTTTTCTTTGGTAGCTACAACTTACCTGTGCCAGCAAATCTCCAGTTCGGACGTTGAGAACATCCTAACAGCGGATAGATACAGCTCGCGCCGGTGCCGACGTCGAGACCGAGAACTTCTCGCTCGGGATCATATCTATCGGTGTAGCTGTCACTCGTGCTATCCAGCAGACTCTGAATCCAGAGTATATAATTCAGTCGATTCGGGACCTTAACGCCATTAGCATGCCGGTCATTGATAGACCGGACGCTACCTTGCTCACAGGAGGGCACAGCCGGTCAGGAGGTAACGTGATCTCCAAGCCAAAATCGCGCCTTAAGAGGGACTTTGTAAGTTGCTGGACAGACTCTGGATTGCTGAAATCGAGCTGTCCGTTTGGTTTCAGGCTGTTCGGTGTCAGCTCTCTACCCTATTTATGTAGTAGAAGTGGATGGATGCGTGTTTCCTACGGAGGGGTAACGAGGCGCAGAGCTTTCCGCGATGGCCCAAGACAGGTACTGAAGTATTTCTACTCCTACTGCTGACTTACACTTTTGCAAAATCTCTATCCTGGAGTGCCAAAGTGGCAAAATCAATGTCGCCTTTGTAGATGCTCTTTTGCGACATGTTAGCTGGGCGTAAAGTTTGGAGGTGAGCACTGACGATGGCGGAGTCATCATAGCAGCAACGGAAAGCTACGTAGAGCTTCAGTTTTTTTTGTTTTTTTTTGTTTTTTTTTTTTCAGAATTTCGGCTGTGACTCTTTTGAAGCAACACCTCGGTACCACTCTCTAGATTTTCCTTCGCTTGGGCAAGGTCCCGACTTCAGAATTGTCTGTGGCCATAAGGAAGATAGTTTCGGAGCTTGGGGATTGGCGTGGAGGAGTTCTGAATGTCTCACACGATACAGGGAGACTGACTACAAGCAATTCATACGCCTTGAAAGAATATGGCTTTTTATTGTTGCAATTTGGTAAAGTAAAAGTGCTATCATCCCCCAGAAAATTAATGCTTAAAAGTGCTCCTGACTCCATACCCATACCCAACTCCCCCCAAGTGTCGGAATCAAATTGGTATCATGCCGTTCCCCAAGGACTAATAAGCCTCTAAAGCTTCTGCTCGTCATCGCTCGACTTCTGCTTTTTCGTTGCAGGGCCGTCATTCACTGGCTCTGTGGTTGGGACATCTGGAAGTGTAACTTTGGCCTCTTCATTCTCCTTCGCGTCAGAGTCCTTTGCAGCTGGAGTATCTTCCTTCTCCTGGTAAAGTGTTAGCCATCGTTCATTAGGAGTTGAACGAAAAGTCGTGAGATGGACTTGGGCGATGATAAAGCAAAGTAATAGGATACATACGGCTGCCTTAGGGCCATTTTCCGCAGACTCTCCAGCTTCAACTTCCTCCCAGTCACTCTCTGACTCTTCGGTAGATGGGAAGAATCGTCTGCTACTATTAGCAAAGTAAGAGCCGGGTATGACGACGTCACTTACGGCAACCATTTGTTATACGCATCCACATCCTTTGAAACAAAAGTGCAGAAGATGACTTTCTCGAGCTTGTCTCCGTCCTTAGCTTGAAGGAAGTCCTTAACAGCCTTAATCGCAACAGGGGCTGCATCATCGCTGGGGTATCCGTAGACACCAGTACTCAATGCGCTGAATGCAATGCTCTTGCAGTCGTTCGCAACTGCGAGCTGCAGACTTGTAGTGTAGCATCCGGCCAGGTCTTCCTCACTCTCGTCCTTGAAGCTGGAATCATAAACAGGACCAACTGCATGAATGACCTTCTTGCAAGGCAAATTGTATGCGTTTGTGATCTTGGCCGAGCCAGTATCGCAACCTTTCAGCTGGCGGCACTCTTTGACCAGTTCAGGCCCAGCAGCTCTGTGTATAGCCCCGTCTACACCTCCCCCTCCAAGCAGCGAATTATTTGCAGCATTAACGATAGCACCAACTTCGAGTTTGGTGATATCTCCTTGAATAAGTCCGATGCGATCGTTCAGGGATTGGGAAGGCTTCGGGGCTTCGGTTTCGGTGTCGAATGTTGCTGGAATGAGCTTCTTGAGGTGGTAGAGAAGTGATACTGTTGGTATCTCTGATACCGGGATGGTCGACATGATCCTTCTGGTAGCAGTGAACATGAGATCGAAATATCCTGTGTTTTATTAAGTTTGGAGTCATGGGAGCTTTCAAAAGAAGATGTGAGCGCTACTTGTAGGCAAGGCTGCGCAGGTGAATTTTAGTCACGTGAAAGTGAGGGGCATGCCGACAGCCTCGCGACAAAGGAATTTAATCCCGTGTTGATTCACAACCACGGAACGGTTCCTTCGCGCCTACTACAGTCCACGAAACGAGAGCAAAGGTACTGGTGACGGAGCCTACGAATCTACTGACAACTCAAGATAACCTGCCTCGAAGGCGCAATCATGGCGGACGCAGTTGCAGAAAATGTCGCGAAGCTTCAACTCGACGAGGAGACGGGGGAGATGGTCTCGAAATCAGAATTAAAGAAGCGCCTGCAGAAGCGTGCGAAGAAGGCTGCTTCAGCCAAAGCAAAGGCTGAGGCGCCTGCGAAACCAAATACCGTGGCTCCAAAATCTACACCAACGAAGGGCGAGGAGGTCAAGGCCGAGCCCATGAGCATGTTTGCTCAAGGATGGCTTGACGGTGTATACAAAGAGAGACCAGTCACTCCAGTGGTTACGCGTTTTCCCCCGGAACCGAACGGATATCTGCACATAGGCCACGCAAAAGCAATCGCCGTCAATTTTGGCTTTGCTCGATACCATGGTGGAGAGTGCTATCTGAGATTCGACGATACCAACCCGGAGGCTGAGGAGGAGAAGTACTTTACAGCTATCAAGGAGATCGTATCGTGGCTGGGATTCACACCAAAAGAAATTACATACTCCAGTGATAATTTCGACAAGTTGTACGAGAAGGCGGAGAAGCTCATAGAACTGGAAAAGGCATACGTTTGCCATTGTGGAGGTATGTCGCACATGCTAGATAATGAACCATACATATTGATCGAACTTCAGATCCTGAGCTCAAGGCCCAACGAGGAGGCGAGGACCACGGACCACGATTCCGGTGCGAGCATGCCAGCCAATCGATTGAGGTGAACCTGGAGAAGTTCCGGGCCATGAGAGACGGAAAATATAAGCCTCGAGAGGCGTTCCTGCGTATGAAGCAAAATATCGAAGACGGAAACCCCCAAATGTGGGATCTGGCAGCGTACAGAGTTTTAGACGCGGAACATCACAGAACTGGTCCGAAGTGGAAGATTTACCCAACATACGACTTTACTCACTGTCTCTGCGATAGTTTCGAGAAGATTACCCACTCTCTCTGTACTACCGAATTCGTCCAGTCGCGGGTGTCTTATGAATGGCTGAATGACACTCTGGATGTCTACCGGCCCATGCAAAGAGAATACGGCCGTTTGAGTATTGAAGGAACTGTATTGTCGAAGCGAAAAATCATGAAGTTGGTGAACGAGGGCTACGTTCGTGGCTGGGATGACCCAAGACTTTACACTCTGATCGCAATCAAGAGACGTGGAGTTCCACCTGGCGCAATCCTCGAGTTTGTCAGCGAACTTGGTGTTACGACCTCTCCTACCGTTATCCAACTCGCTCGGTTCGATCAAACCATACGCAAATATCTCGAGCGTACCGTCCCGCGATTGATGTTGGTTTTGGACCCTGTTCCTGTCGTCATCGAGGATGCCGAAGAGCTGGAGCTTGAACTCCCGTTCTCGCCCAAGGACCCTGCTATGGGTAGTCACAAGGTCAAGTTTACAAAGACTGTTTACATTGAGCGCACTGACTTCAGAGAGGTTGACAGCAAGGAATACTTCCGTCTTGCTCCTGGAAAGTCTGTCGGTCTCCTTCATGTACCCTTCCCGATCAAGGCTGTTTCGTTCACGAAAGATGGCGACAAGGTTACGGAGATTAGGGCAGTCTTTGATAAGGAGGGGAAAAAGCCGAAAACGTACATACACTGGGTTGCTGAAGGATCACGAAACGTCGAGGTCCGCATTCAAAACTCATTATTCATGAGTGAGAAGCCGGACAATGCCCCAGGTGGATTCCTCAAGGACATCAACCCCAACAGCGAGGAAATCTGGCCAAATGCGATCATCGAATCCGGGTTCGAGGAGGTCAAGAGACGTGCGCCATGGCCTGAAGCTGCCGGAGAGTCCGAGCTGGGCAAGGGAGGTCTCGAATCTGTGCGATTCCAAGCAATGCGTGTTGCTTATATGGTAAGGCAACAATCAAAAATCAGTTCTTTTCACGCAAAACTGATATTTTCAAGGCGATGGACTCGGATAGCACTGACGACAAAGTTGTCTTGAACCGCATTGTCAGCCTGAAAGAAGACGCTGGGAAGTAGCCCTTACCACGGAGTAATGAGACTCACGAATTTGGCCAACGCATTGCTGGAGTTTGGGACGACGATTGATGAACACTGATTGTAGGGGCGCAACTAAATGGTGGGATAGCCGTTCTCAGATTATCAACAAAACTTGCCAAGTCTCAAGTTCCAGACTCGGAAGATACAGATCCAGGTATGCCAATACAAAGGAGTAGAGCCTTTGACAAAGCAGCCTCGTTTTTTGTGACACCTCCAACTTCCGCTATACGTCGCTTGCGGAAGTTGGGGATCATCTAACAAAGACACCTTGAATTTGATATCAACAGTGCCAGTGTAGTAATCCAAAGTTAACCTTCTCCCCACAAAGTTGTGGAGTAAATACAACAGCATCCACTGACTGGCTAGGCTCAAATTCATGAAAAAATGGCGCCTCCCCATGATCCACCGTTTCCCAGGGCTGGGCCGTCTCACAGAAAATCAGGCGCTGAGACAGCGGATAGAGTGAGCAAAAATCGAGGTGCTATCGGAAGGAGCAGACCTAGTGCCCTAGATTTCGCGAGGACTAGAAGAAGCTCTCACGAGTTCGATAGCGACGATTCGTTGCCCAGTCATTCCGATGATGAGCACAGTTCACGGCAATTCAACATTAACTTGGCTGCTCGGCAGCTTGAAGGTGCCGTTGATGCTACTCATATTGAGCTTAGCCGGAGAGCAGCGATAACTGATTCCCCTTACGCCGCCATTGTTTATAAGCATCTTGTTGCAACGACTCCCCCCAACTCGCCTACTACGCCGCCTAAACCTCAGCTTTCTCCGAGGTCCAAAGCGTTTCAGGAAATTTTGAAAGGCAAAGATTTTCAGGCTGTAATGGACTTGGATAAACTTCTTCATAATCGATTGACGGATCTGGATGTAGCTAGACTCTAACCTTGGTACTTTTGCTAGTCTAGCTATCAATGCAGAGATCATATTCGTCAGTGGGTACGTACATTAGCCTTCCTTCACTTACATGGTCTCGATTCTTTATAAATTTATCCTCAGGTGTCGATACTCTGGCCACTGGGATACTAATCATCTTGAAGTGGACCAAGAATCGACAAGAATGGCAAGAGAAGAGGGACGCGCTGGACGTGACTGACGACAAAATCGGAGGTATGCTGTCCCGGGGAGGTCGACGTGGAAGTCGAGCCTCGAGAAGATATTCTTCAACGATGAGCAACAATCTCGGCTCGCAATTGCGTGAGATTGAGCGATTGCAAAAGTCAAATTTGCCGCTTTACAGATGGTTTCACCCAAACAAGTTCCTCATGGATGGGGTCTACGCCAAGTTTTAAAAACTCGAAGTGGAAATCGATAATAGCTCTTAACACTCGACCGACGACTATGTTATTCAATGGACGTGTGACCACGGCCCAGGTGAAGACATCACAACTTTCGATTTCTTCCGGAAGAAAAAGGTTCAGTACCTGGCCCAGGCCTGCTTTCAGTGATATTGAAAATGAAATACGCAAGCTTGAGAGGGAAAGCGCTAGCACCTATTCCACGATGGTTGAGGTAAAAGACTTGAGAGACTTGCTGCCAAAAAAGATTGACAAGGAAATTGTAACTTCTTACAAGGAAGACTTAGAAACCGAGAAGGTAAGTAAGAGAGAGAGAGATTTCCCCCTGCGTGTTTTCCGGAGTCTTAGATGAGTGGTCGCTAACCATCTCGCTATCTATAGGCCGTTTTCGATGAGGGTCAGGTTCAAAGCCACGGTTTCGAAGCCAGGATCGATCGCATCCTGAACGCGCGATGCGACGCCAAGATTGCCGAGATTTCTTTTGCAGCTGGGCAGGAAGACAAGGTTTGTCTCTACAATTCAAAGATCACAGAGTTGACTGCGCTCGATGGGCTCTTCAGAGGCGCGCGGCTTTTAAATCGGATCATTGGCCAGATACTCAACTTCGTTGCAGAGGGCGTGGAAAATGAAATCTTCGACTTTAGTACTAATGCGGGTGTAGACTTCTTCGAGAATCTCTACTATGCTTGTTACCACCACCACCATAAGCAAGGTGAAGTACAGGAACAGAAGTCCGTCTTCAAGAACGGCGAGCATCTATCCACTCGCGAGAGGGGAAAGATTGTCAATCGTATCGAATCTCACTACACTTTCGATAAAGAAGATCGCCGAGATCTGGAACGTCTTCAGAATCGGAAAGCATCGACATTCAACAGAGATCTCGTGAGACTGCCAAAGGCTTCGTCAAGAAAGAGCAGAATCGGTACTCGGGACTGGTCAGATATACTGTCGCCATTTTCAGGGAGAGAGATCTTCCACCTACAGCCCGGGTCTTGGAACCTGTCCCGACGCCACCCCCAGCTGATCATCTGTTGCGGCCTAAGCGGTCACTATTTTGGACCGGTCTGGAGTTAGCGGCTGCCGAAAAATATCTCGTCAGCTCGTCGGGCTCTTTCATACCCAACTGGAAAACCGACAGAGAATACGATCAGAAGTCGACAAGATATCTCGACGTGCTCGAAGATTTCTTCATATCCCCGGACGTCTTTCCCGACTTCGGCCTGAGTGGGGACACATGGAGTCTCAGAGAATTTATTACTGCGGTAAACAACCATCTCTACGCCCCCGTTCCAGAAATAGTTCTTGAAGCGTTTGTTACGTACTGTCATCATACTAGTCAGCTGTTCTACATCGGTGCCCAGTCCCGAAGGATCGCACCAATCACCCGAAAGTACGGATGGGTCAACTGCCATGAGGAACCCGTCGGCGGTCCTCGGAGGAAAGTGACCTATGATTCGAAGAAGAAACCCAAAGGACTCGCGGACCTCGAGGAACTGGTGCTTCAGAGCCTCCAAATCGACCCCACAAAGGCACCGTTGTATCTCGCGTCGGCTATGCTGGGGGCAATCAATGCCTGGAAGAAGCCAAAGATCCTCGGCTTCGTACCCAAATCGAAAATGGACCTAGCGACCTACCAGAAGCATCTGCGGTACTGGTCTGCAGCAGGATCCTTCTTCGTCTATCGCACCATCCACGACGACAAGATTCTCATCCGAGTCAACAACGGATGGCCCGTGCCTCTCAGAGGCCCGCCCCCCGCCCCCCGCGCCCCCCCCTCTGACTCCCGCCATGATCGAAACACCGCCGCGCCTCCTCTCCCGCATCGCACGCGATGTCCTCAGCCGGCGAAGCAAGCAATATCGCCAACGCCCTGCCGAGGCCGAGCTTCCACGCGGACGCCATCCCGGAATGGCAACTGTACGTACGACCTGATATACAACCCCACCCCCACCAAGCAGAGCCGTAGCCGTGGCGTAAGCTGGAAGGGTCTCGAGACGGAGACGGTCGTCCCACCTCTTCCTGAGGCGTTTGTTGCACGACGGCAGGGACACTGTTCGGGTAAGGGAAGAGCTTTCCGCGGTGCTTTTTTCCTGGCTTGGGTCCCCGTGCTTGCCTGCTCTCGCGGATCCCGTTCCGTTCGGGATTGTGCCGTTGGCTATAACGCGTTTTCGTGGGTAGGCTGGACCGCAATGGGGCGGTCGTGGTATCGTCGGGTGATTTGAGCGCGCTGGGGTCGCGGTGAGAATGCTTCGAGGCCGTTCTTGTGCTTTAGCTTGTTCCCTGCTCTCATTTCGCAGACACGTTGCGCAGGATTTGGAGGTTGGAGTTGGGAATTGATATTTTTTTTTTCTTCTTTTTTTTTCT